CTCCAGAGGGGATGCCAGAATCTTGCCACCACGGCCTTCACGTCAGCGCCACAGCCTGCACAAAGGAGCGACGGCCTCAAAATCCTCACAGACGCGTTTACCTCCCAGCAAGACCCGTGATTGTCCAATTGGTCGTATCTCCTGGAGTAGCCGCCGCATCCACGTCCTGAGCCCCACCCTCATCCACCCTCATGCACATTCGTCTCTTCCCTCCTCGTCCTCCCCGTTCTTAGGGGAACAAAAAATTACGTAAACATAAAAACTCGGAGGTCCGCGCGGACCTCCGAGTGTTTATGTTTATGCCAATTGTTGTTCCCCTATCCCCATCCCCACTCTCCCCTCTGCCCTGAGAGCTGCCCAATCCACACTGCAAGCTCTTCTCCTCCGACCTCCTCCATCCTTTCTTCACCGCCGCAGACCACGTCAGCGTCGATGTCCTCGCCCTCGTCGTCCTCCTCGCCGCCAACGTCAGCACCAACGGCGTGACCGACGTCGTGGTCGCGCCACCTTCGTCGTCGACATCGTCGTCGCCGGCATGCCAACCTTCGCGATGCGTGACTGCGGGAAGGGAGAAGACGCAGAAGGCACCTGCACATCACCACGAGGCCTGGCGGGGGCCATCCTGAGCCTGGCACGGTGTATGCGCCCTCCTTCGGTGGCAACTCACGGGAGCCTCCCATACCATCTTGTCGGCTCCTGCGAGTCGATGCGAATCAACGCTAGTCAACGCTAAATCGAGGCTAAATCGGTGCTACATCGGCGCTAATCGACGCTAAGTCGGCGCTACCTCATCGACTCCCAGACGCTGATCGACCCGAATCGGCACTAAAGACGGAACTAACAGGATACGCCAGGCTTCCATGATTTACTACCGAACCCTCATGATCCAGGGGTATTACCAGGCGCCCATGACTTGCTACCGAACGCCCCCCTGGCTGACAGCCATATTTACGCCCCCCCGATCTGGACTCCTGGAGCGCGGCCCCGTGGATTCAAGGGAGCGGCGTCTCGCGGATGCCGTGCGCGAAAAACGCAATGAACAACCATGGGAACGCGTGAGTGTACGTGGGATCGCGCCTCGGCATCCAGACCGCGAGGGCATGGATGAGCATACTGCCGTGAGGAAGCAATTTCACAGGGCGCTTGACTGATCAAAATATCTGGAGGGCGGTCTCTGAAACAGAAGCCACTCCCCCCCTCCCCCGTCTCTCCCCGGTGCAAAGGAGGAGGGGGGGCAGCAGGCGACGACACGCACCAGTCGTCGTCGTGGTCCTCGTCGTCGCCGTTGTAGTCGTCGTGGTCGCCGTCGTCATCGTCCGCAGTCGTCGTCATCGCCGTCGTCGACAACCCCCTCCTCACTCCTCCCCTGCACGGTGCATTCGGGGAGCTTGCCACCGCTCGGACGTCCATTCCGCGTGCCCTGTTCGGTGTCGTGCGTTTACGTTTGCAAGCTGAGCCAAGATGCTCCTCGACTGTCCTCGCCAAGACAAGGATGCACGCGTCCGAGCGATGCCAAAGGAGGGGGCGGGGGTCCTGGAGGGGCCCCCCTCACCCACTGCAGGCGACAACAGAATGCACTCTCTCAAATCTGTTCGTCGGTCGTGGGAGGCGCCAAGGTGGCGTCCGCGTACAGCGCCAGCGTGCCGCGGAGCCTCTCTGCGGAATACCATCCATCCTGCCGGGCCGCGCCGTCGCAGGATTCCCTCCACGATCTCACGATTTAACCGTTTGACCATTTAGCCTAGCGCAGGTGAACAGCATTCTCCTACAGCTGCTCCTCCTGCTGCTGCTCCACCTCCACCTCCACCTACACCTCCACCTCCTCCGCCACCTCCTCCTCCACCTGCTCCTCCACCTCCTCCCCCACCTCCTCCTCCTCCCTCCCCTTGCCCCCCACTCCCTCTCCTTATCTTGCTCCGCTCGTGATAAGAAAGAGTACTTGCGACTGTATGTTGGCATGTATGCTCGTCGGCACGCCCGACGCCACAGCGACTGCGCAGTGTATTGCACCTGCCGTGTTCGACGCTGCCGGTCCCACTTCGAGTAGGGGATCGACTACATGATTGATTTCCCCCAAGATTGACTTGCTCGTCGAGTCAAGGAGACATGCGTGGAATGTTGGTAGATCTGCGAACGCTCCACGTATGGCTCGACGAGAGAATCAATCTGGGGGTAAATCAATTCTGTAGACGCTCCCCTACTCGACCATCGTCGCAGCCCACTTCCGCGGAGCCTCTCGTGCCGAGCGCACCGGACCCCACGCCTTCTCGCCCCCCTCCTCTCGACCGACTGCCGGCGCAGCCGAGCCGACCCGACCGCGGACTCCACAACGAACGTCTTGAAAGGCTACAGTCGGAGAGGACACGCGAGAGGACACAAGACCCTTCTGAGGGCCACGTTGCCACAGAATTGCAGGAGGCATGGGTCGCAAGACACAGGACACGGGGGTACCCTTGATCTGGCAGGGTCGACCTACTAATCCAGGCGCCTCGCCTTCTCGCCCCCCCTCCTCTCGACCGACTGCCGGCGCAGCCGAGCCGACGGAACCGCGGACTCCGCAGCGAACGTCTTGAAAGGCTATTCCGCAAGCAGAGGCCCCTCGCCATCGCTCGGACGCCCCGTCCCACGCACGCGTCGGCTTCGCGCGTGCAGCTGTGCTCGCGAGGTGGCCCCACAGGATCCCCATCCAGGGCTGAGCCTGGCCTAAGCGGCGTTTTTCGTTTTCCCTCGTGGTGTCGTCAACCCGCCTTTACCGCAACACGAAGTGGAAACGAGAACGGCCCACGAGATCGCCAAGACACCGTTCTCAGGCCCAGCCCTGCTCCTCGAGGGCCCCTGCCGAGAAAACATGCACACGTCCGAGCGACCGGGCCGAACCGACCGAACCGCGGACTCCACAACGAACATCTTGATTGGCACGCGCAAGGACATACCAGTCCGATGTGTCCTCCTCGGAAGCGGGCGCCCGACCCAAACGTGTAGTGCAACCATCTTGTAGTACGCACACCATCGTTTCCCAAGCTGGACGCGCCCGCCACGGCGCATATGCTGCAGGACTTCTCGGTGCGCGCGTCGCCACTGGGGGGGGGGAAGGATTCCGCAATCAGAGGTCCAGCGAGGCGAGGCTGCCAGCCCCGCCTCGACCGCGTGGATGACGGGGCCCTAGGACACACAAATAAGTACACACAAATAAGAGGATTCCCCATATTTTCCTATATGTTCTGGGTTTTTGCCTTCCCCCCCACTTCCCATAGTTTCCCATATCTTCTGGGAAATCCACGATTCATTGTGTCTGTGTGTGTGTGTGTTTTTTTCCCTCCCGAGTGGACCCCGCACCGCGGGCGGCCTGCTGCGAGGCCCCAGGGCCCGAGACGAGGCCCCCAGGGGGGGGACGAGCCCGCACCGCCCGCGCCGGCGCCGCCGCGGCGTCGAGGCAGCACGACGCTGCCGTGCGGCTGGCTCCTGTCGGCTCGACTCCTCGTCTGCCGCCTCCTCCTCGCACGAAACCTGATAAATCATATGGTTTCCGAATACTGTCCTGGCTCAGGCGGGGCCTCCCTGAACGGGTGGGAGGGGCACCCAACCTGATAAACCACATGGTATCCGAATACTGTCCTGGCTCAGGCGGGGCCTCCCTCGACGGGTGAGAGGGCACCTAACCGGATAAATCACATGGTATGTGAATACTGTCCTCGCTCAGGCGGGGCCTAACTGGACGAGTGGGAGGGGCGGTGGGAGGGGCACGAAACCTGGTAAATAATACGGAATGCGAATACTGTCCTCGCTCAGGCGGGGCCTCCCTGGAGGGGTGGGAGGGGTACGAAATCATACGAGAATATGGTGATGCATGATGTCTTATGGTATTGTATGGTATGGTATGGTATGGTATGGTATGGTATGGTATGGCATGGCATGGCATGGCATGGCATGGCATGGTATGGTATGGTATGGTATGGTATGGTATGGTATGGTATGTATGGTTTTGCAATGGCATGTGGAACAGGAAGCGGGAGAAGGAGAAGGAGAAGGAGAGGGTGTTCATCGAAAACAAGAACCCCACTCAGGATGTGGGAAATGACTAAAACTATCAAACATACCCTAAAAATCGTCCCCTGTTTTGACTATGTTTGCACATTCCTTCTGTAGAGGGACATGCCCGACGTAAGGCGGGCTGCTGTCGGCTCGACTCCAGCGCTGGTGCCTGACACCGCTTGCATCGCTCCGCCTTGAACGATCGCGCCCTTGGGGACCTCCTAGATGGGCCCCGAGTGGATGGGGTCGGAGGATCGCACCCCGTCGGCGATACATCGGCGATGCGTCGCCGACGTCGGCGATGCATCGCCGCCATCGGCGCAGAGGAAATCGGGCTCGACATCGAGCCGCATCGCCGATGCATCGGCGATGCGGCGCGATCCTCCGACCCCCATCTGCTCCGACCCCCATCTCGGAGGCCCAGATGGCACCGCTGGAACCTCTCCGCCCTGAACGACCGCGCCTTCCCGGCCGCGCAGATCGCTCCACATCGACCGCTTCCAGACCCACCCCCCGACACCCGCCGCTCGGATGCCTGCCATCTGCGGGCCCCCAGAGGCTTTGTGGGCCCCAGAAAGGGCAGGGCCGTTTTTTCACCGTCTCCCAAAAAAATGCCCCTTGAAAATGGAAACGGCAAAAAAAACGACGACCGGAAACTGCAAAAAACGGCTCCAGGCTTGGAACCAGGGCCGAAAAACCGGTCAAAACACGGCGACGGCACCGGCAAGAAAACGGCGTCGTTATAACCGGCAACAGAGCGGCCAAACGGCACCGGCAACAAAAACGGCCCTGGCGTTCCCAGGGCCCACGGAGCCCGGAGGTCCCCAGCCGCCCTCCCACCGGGGGTCGGCCCGTCGCCCCGGACATCCCCGCTCCTGCTGGTCCCCGGGGCCCGACCGCGGGCCACCCCTGGGGGGGCCGCGGTCGAGGGAGAAACCGCCGCAGGCGGCGACGCGTCCGAGCCCGGCCCTCGCCGGCCATCGCCTCCTCTGCGAATCCATCTCGGGCAGAGGAAAGAGGACTGAGCCCAGGATCTGTGCACATAAGACAAGGCTAGGATCGGGATAACTCGATCCAGAGCGTTCCGGGGCGCTCTCAGAGCGTTCCGGAACGCTCTGGAGCGGCCGCGGCGCCCAATACATCCTCCAAAGCCGCCGATTCTCAGAGATTTCGAGTTATCCCGATCCGATTTTGTCCTGATCTTCGCGTCGTTTTAGCACACGCCCTCTTGCCTTGGCCTCGAAGGTATATGCACCGATCCTGGGTCAAGGATGGACGTTGTCAGGATCGGTGCATGTGCATAGTTCTCTTCGCCCGATCGGGCGGGGAGCAGGACTCGCACCTCGGCGCGTGCTCGACGAAGTGTGAACCGGAGGGAAGAACACGGCGACCAAATGACCAAGACTGGACGCGGGAACGTCGAGTCGATCTCGGTCACAGTGCATCTTCGTCGGCGTCGATTTGCGGATCTTCGCGAATCGGAGGCGGCCGACGTGGACCATGACCAAGATCGGCATCGACAAGATCCCCCGTCATTTGGCCGCGAGCACAAGGTGGTAGAGATAGGGGGGACGGCTTCTTAGAACGAGAACTCAGGAGGCGCCAGCCCTACATCCACAGACAAGGCCCGCGGCTTCTGAGAGGCAGGGTTGCTTCTGAGAAGCACCCCTGCCTCGTGCTTCTTCCCTCGAGGAACCCCAATCCCCGCCGCTCATCGAGCTGCCCGAGCCGCTGCTTGAGGTGAGGGCAGGGGCTCGGATGTTTCGCCGCCCACCGCTGGGAATATGCACAAAAAAACATACATCGCCAGGGATCTCAGACATGAGCGCGCTTTAACCGAGGCTCTTAGGACGAAGCCCGGGCGAGGATACATTCGGGTGAGGATAGACATCGAGAACCTCTGAGATCCGGCAGCGCTGGAGGATATCTCAGGCACCGCGGCCTTCTCGCAGCGTGCTGGAACGCTCTAGGAAGCATTCCCGAACGCTCTGGAACGGATTTCCCCTTGCCCAAATCGAGAGGCATCGATAGGGGGATTAGGCATCGGGGGGGGAAACGCCGACTTGGAATCGGCAATACATCGCCGATAGATCGGCGACAGGCCCCCGACAGTGAATCCGCACGCTCCTGGGCAGGTTGGGGCTGTCGGGCCCCTATCGGCGATCAATGGGAGATTGGGGGTCGATGCATCCCTCGGCCACACGTAAGAATGACCCTGGGCAAGAGTGACCTTTGGTGCCCGACTTAACGGGGAACGCGGCGCGCGCGCAAGCCGCTGCAACCGCTTCGCTATCTGCGACCAAAGAACCTTACTGGGCCCGCACCAACGGTCACTCCGGCAAAAGGTCACTCCTAAATTTACGATCGGACATAGGCCGGAAGAACATCCTTCAAGAACATGAGGCCCTTCGCCAGCCAAAACACATACAGCAGCCAAAGGTACCACTCCAAGAACATCCAACAGCCACGAAGCACACTGGGACACGCTCGCCGAACCGACCTCGATCTTATGCCTCGGTCTGGCCGTATCCCCGTCCCAACTGGCTCTCGGGACATACCTCGGGCTTCCGGCGGCCGCTCGGGGCGACCCGTGCACCCCCAGAGCGCTCTCACCGAGGTGCAGCTGCTGGAGAGCACCCCCGAGGCTGGAACCCTGTCGAGACCCGACGAGAACCTCCGAAAACCTTGGCCGCAGTCGAACCTCCTTGCCCTATATCCTTTTCGGGGATGGACAGACCCCCCTTCAGTAAAACGTGGTTTAGTGAAAACGACCTGAGGCCCAAACCTGGCGGGCGCACGCCTGGAAAATGACGGCCACGGCGCCCTCTCGAGAACCGAAAACGGACAATTCACTGATCGACGTGTCACTGTTGGGGGCTCTGCCCACCCCCGACCTATATATATATATATGTATGTATATATATACATATATATACATACGTACATACATACATACATACATACATACATACATACATACATATATATATATATATATACAACCCCGCCCGACGGCTGCCCGCGCCGGGGTCGCCGCCGACTCGCGGCGGCGCGGCGACGCTGCCCACCGGGCCCAGAGCCGCCCCGCCAGCCCGGCGGGAGAGGGGCCGCCCTCCTGCTCGAGGTCCGCCACGAAGAGGCAGGGCAGCCTCGCGAGCGCGCACACTCTCTCGCGCGCGCGCGCCCGGCTGCGCTCGAGGGGCGTGCGCCGCGCACGCTCTTCGCGAGCGCAGCGCTTCCGGGGCTCGCGCGCAGCTCCCGAGGCAGCGCTTCACCGGGTGCCCACGGCAGGATCGAGTCGTGTCGGCCCCGGCAGTGGTGCCCGACACCGCGGGGGTCGTCCAGCCCTGGACGAGCGGCCGATTCAGAAGCGCCGGATCGTTCAGCGACGGGCCGATTCCTTACGGGCGGCACTTGCGGGAGGCAGCTCCCAGGCCACGCTCCTGGGCCCGTGTGCAGCGCCCAAGCGGCTCCCAGGCAGTATTTCCTGTGCTCACGCGCAACTCCCAGAAATATCCCGCTCTTGACTACATGAGCTGCGGGGGCATACGGCATGTTCGGCTCGGGTCAGCTTCGGCGTTGGCTTCGGACACCACAGGGACCGTTCCACCTTGGGCGATCGGCGGCTTTTCGATCGCCAGATCGTTCCACACTGGCCGATTATTGGCCAGCGTTAGGTCGGACCTGTCCTCCTACAGGGGAATTCGGGGCTAAAAATCAAAAATACTCAAAAGATATCCCCAACATGTTCGAAAATAATCAACAAATCGTCCCTTGAATATCCCTCCTGTAGAGGGACAGGCCCGACTTGAGGCCAGCGGCGGCACTCAACCTCGGACACCTGCGGCGGGATCTACACCGCGTGAACATCGCACGAGCCTACCGTACAGCGCTTGCGAGGCACCATGGCCCCACCGCAGTTGCGGATGCGGGGGATGACGTCGGCAACTCGCGAGGCTCGACAGCGAATGAGAACAAGCCCGCCGCAGGGACAACTTCAGAAAGCACGCTACACAAAGAGCGCACCGCTGGCGCCGAAAGAGTTGTGGCAAGAATAGTGTGTGGGTGGGCGGGTCGCGGATGGACATTCGGCAGGTCCGCCAGCGAATCGCGCGGCGGGCCGCAGATGGGTCGCAGGTGGGTCGCGGGTGGGTCGCTGATGCGTCGCGGGCAGGTCGCGAGGGCGGGCGGGAAAGGGTCGTGGGGCGGGTCGCGGGTGGGTCGCGGGGCCGGGCCGGAAACAAGAACACGAATCCGTACCGAGGAACCGCACTTCAGCCACGCGCCCGTGCACAATAGACCGCTCGGGCCTCTCCCCCTGACATGGTTGGCATTCTCCCACCCCCTGCGGGGAGCTTCAGCGCGGAGCCCAGACCAAGCGCGCACCCAAGAGCGCAAGGACGCCAGTGTACATCCCAGCCAGCCTCAACGAGGTTGCCCAGTCAAGACCCGGTGCAAAGCTGACCGTTGGAAACGCAGGGCAAGTGAGATTAGCCGTACAAGCATTGCTCTACGATGGAAGTTTGAACCAGGGACGCAGCCCCCCTGCCCGCCCTGATTCGGAAGGTCGGCACGACCGAAACTCCTGGGGAGGGACCTCCATAACCTTACAGTCCCCGAGCCCTGTCCTTCCGCTCGCCATCGCTCGGACGTCCATTCCCTGTGTTTTTTGTTCGGTTTCGTGCGCGGCTGTTTCGCCAGATGATCAAGGATGCTCCTCGATGGTCCTCGCCGAAGGAAAAATGCACACGTCCGAGCGATGCCGAGTCCGCGGCAGGAGGTGTTCCTTAGTTCGGCGCCCCGACGGCCAGACAGGGGACGGGTCCATCCTTGGCAGGCTCGATCGGGCCAGGGAAGGGGAAGCAAGGATGGCCACGTGGGGGCGAGAGCGGGGCCCAAAACAAGCCACGCAAACCCAAGCGGAGCCGCTTCGGGAGGGGCCAAGTGTTCTGTTGCTCCCATCGCACCCCAAGGACCAAGTACCAGAAATAAACTCGGGCACGCAAAAAAATACCGAAGCCGTGTCGAAAGAGGATCGCTTCCCAGGGCCCGACGCTTGAAAACCCTCCAGTTTCGGTGTTCGCAATTACTTCTTGTGATACAGGCTGAAGTCGGTTGGGACATCATACAGTCATCGGCCTGACCAGAGGAAAGATTAAGAAAGAGCGCGTTCTGCGGTCGCTTGGACGGGGGGGTTCGAACCCCCCTTCACGTGGCGGAGGGGGGGGGTCGAACCCCCTCCGCTCCGCTACTTCTCCCCTCTGCCTCTCCTCGGGCCAGCGCCGACGTCGGCGGCGGCTGGCGGCGGAGGCGGGGGTGCTGGTGGTGGTGGTAGTGGCGGTGGTGGTGGTGGTGAGGTGGTTTGTGGTGGTTGTGGTGGTGGTGGTTGTGCTGCTGGTAGTAGTGGTGGTGGTTGTGACGATGGTGGTGGTGGTTGTGTGCTGGATTGTGGTAATGGTGGTGGTAATGGTGGTGGGCTGTTGTATTGGTGGTGGTGGTGAGCTGTTGTGGTGGTGGTGGTGGTGGCTGTGGAAGTGGTGGTTGTGTGGTGGTTTGGTGGTGGTTGTGGTGGTGGTTTGAGGTGGTGACGGTGGTGGTCGTGATGGCGTTGGTGGTGGTGGCGTGGTGGTTTGTGGTGGTGGTGGTGGTGGGCTGTGGTGTTGGTGGTGGCGCTGCTGCTGGCAGCGGTGCTGGTGGTGGTGGGTGGTGGGTGGTGGGTGATGGTGGTGGTGGTGGCAGATCTGGTCGTGGTATGGTGGTTTGCGGTGGTGGTGTTGGTGGTGGGTTGTGGTGATGGTGGTGGTGGCGGTGGTGGTGATGGTGGTGGTGATGGTGTGGTGGTTTGTGGTGGTGGTGGTTGTGGTGGGTTGTGATGGGTTGTGGTTGTGCTGGTGGTGGTGGCGTTTTTGGTGGTGGTGGTGGTGGTGGCGAGGTGGTTTGTGGTGATGGTGGTGGTGGTGATGGTGGGTTGTGGTGGTTGTGGTGGTGGCTGTGGTGGTGGCAGTGGTGGTGGTGGTGGTGTTACGGTGGTCTGTGTTGGCGGTGGTGGTGGTGGCGTGGCCTTCGGCTCTTCCCGCCACTGACTGTGTTTTGGCACAGGGTCAGAGTTCCAATGGATGCTTCTTGAGGTCTCGTCAGAAGGGTCTCGGGAGCGTCTGAGGAGCATGCGAGGGCTCGATATGACGATTTGTGTGTTCCCTCTGCGGCCTCTGGGCCCTCTCTGGTCATCGTCGCTGCGTCCCCGCCGTCGGCGCTTCTGGCCGCCGCCGGCGCCGGCGCCGGCGCTGGCGCGAGGGGGGGGGGGTTTGACCCCCCCCCCTCCTGGGCCCTCTCTGGTCATCGTCGCTACGTTGGCGCTGCGGCGGCCGCCAGCGCTGGCGCCGGCGCAGGGGGGGAGGGTTTGGGGGTTTTGACCCACCCCCTCTGGGGAAGTGGGGGTGTTCGGGAGGGGGGGGGGCTAGGGGGTTAGGGGGTAGGGTAAACCCCCTGGTTCTGATCGACGGCGCCAAATGTTTGGGGGGGGGGGCCACCCCCCAATTCGAAACGCGCCGCCGAATGTTCCCAAGGCAAGCATCCGTGAAACGCGCTCTCTCAGAAATAAAAAACGAAGCCCTTTTTCCAAGGGGTAACGCATAAGAAACGATATATAGTACATGACGCATAAAGAACGATAAATAACGCATGCAAATTTAAGGAACGACCGAGCCGCTTTTGAAAAGTAGGTGTTCCTTACTCAAGCCGCTCACTGTAAGCCAAGTGGCCAAGTCAGGCAAGCTGGACGGGGCCCGAGAAGAGAAACGCTGCGCAGGCGAAGGTAAGAGGGGGTGCCCGGGAGAAGAGACAGCACGTGGGCCGTTTTTTTTATTCGGCGTTTCGACGCTGGGCGGAAAGGGGGGGCGGGTGGAAAAGGGGGGGGGTCTGGCTCCAAGACCTCTGCCTACTGCGACTGTTAGCAGCAGTGCTGCCTCTGGGGGAGGGACTCCGCCTGCTCGAAGCAGGCGCCAAAAAAAAACGGCCAAGACCCACTCCTGGGGGGGGGGGGTCCGAGGGCCCGCGCCGATCGGCAACACAAGAAGTAACAAAAACGATCACCACCTGGAAGAGGCGGAGGAGGTGGAGGAGGAGGAGGCGGACGACGACGACGACGACGAGGACGAGGACGCGGACGAGGAAGAGAAGGAGCAGGAGCAGGAGGAGGAGGAGGAGGAGGGCGCCATCGACAGGGAAGATGCGGGCCACCCGGAAGAGGCGGCCAATCCCCGGAAGAAGGCGTCAACGAGTTTTGCCTGGGCGGGGCCGAAGAGCCCACGCCATCCGAGCCCATGTCTGCTCCATCGTTGGAGCCCCGGGAGGGCCCCACGACTAGGGGGCCACATGCGAACCCAACCCGTACCCCCCACGATTTCTGAGGGGGGGGAGTTCACTTCGCTCGAGAGCTCCAGAACGAAGTGAAACCCCATCCTCCCCCTCAGAACTCGTGGGCGGTAAGGATAGGGTTCGCATGTGGCCCCCCAACGATGTGTCCACCCCGTCCCCAGACAAGGAGTAACGCCGCGCGTCGTCTTTCGGCGTTCCCAGGAGGGAGAACACGACTGCCGCGAATTGTTCAAGTCGCTGCGGCTCAGGGTTCGGGAGTCAAGACAGACCCCCTGATTCCCCCAATTTAAAGATAGAACCTCCAGGAAGCCGCTAAGAGGCCTCAAATTGGAGGCCTCCGATTGGAATGTTTGCCCGCGCGGGCCCCAAACACTGGGTCATTACATTTGCCGTGCACGTCATGTGCCGCGTATGCGGGGTGGTATTTACGCACGTGGTGCAATCTACGGGCTGCAACGAATGTTGGCTTCGCCCGCGCGTGACATCCCCCAACGTTCGTACAGACATCCCAGCTCGAACGCCCCACCCATGGACCAGAAGCCGTTTTGGCAAAAGCCAACTGGGAAGGGACGATGACGATGATGATGTTCATGACGACAGCGAAGACGATGAGGACGACGACGATGAAGGTGATGATGGAGCTCATGGCGATAATGACGGCGGCAATCACCACAAAAGCGTTGGCGATGATGACGATGATGACAATGCTGCTGGAGATGGTGTGTTTACAATCGAGTTGTTCATGTGTTGGCTGTTTTTCTGGTTTTGGTCGGAAACGCAGGCCACTGATACGCAGCGCCACCTGGGACAGGGCAGCTCGCGCTATACACCTCCTCCTCCTCCTCCTCCTCCTCCTCCTCCTCGTGCCACATTCCGTCTCCTGCTCCTCCTCCTCCTCCTCCTCATCCTCCTCTTCTTCCCCCTCCTCCTCCTTCTCTCCCGCTCTTCCTCCTCCTCCTCTTCCCCCTCCTCTTCCTTCTCCTAACCTCAAGATGGTCCCAGGAGGCCAAGCATGGCTTAATATAGCCCCCAACAGGCCTCCAAGAGGCCTCAAGACAGCCACAATGGCCAAAGATAGCTGAGCACGGATCGGACAGCTTCTGTCAGCCTCTAGCCGAGCACTGGCTCGAGATAGACTCCAAGGGGCCTCAAGAAAGCCTCCAATCGTGTCTGAACGGGCTGGTGGGGATACCCGAAGCGGCAAGAGTTGTTAGAAACCTGGTGGTTGTGTTAGTGAACGTGGCATGCGCGCGCGGCGGCGCACGCATGTGCCCCTCATAACACATGTTGGAAAGGTTATCAGAGCAAGCACGTCTCAGATCAACGCATGTGCAATGCATACCATTCGTTGACAGTGGTGACGGCGGAGTCGATACGAGGCTACTTGGCATGCGATTGTCAAAGTTTCACATTGGACGATCGCGAAGCACGTCGTGGAGTACCCCAAGGCTCATACAATTTTGCGTCGTAGAGAACTGTCGTCTTGTTGTCGGTTTGTGAGGCTCTGAAGGGCCGGGCCCTCCGTGCGGCAAACCATCTGGGGCTGTGCCACGAATTCCTGGGCGCTGCGAGCCTGTGTTTGCGAGCGCCAGGCGGGCTCCAAGGCGGTGCCAAGGCGCGCCATTCCAAGAGTACCCCACGACAGGCCAAAGGCGCCCAAGAGGCTCGGAGGACGGTGCAAGCGGGCCCCGAATCGTCGGAAGATCGCTCCAAGACGCACAACACGGCTTCCGTAAAGCCGCCTCGAGAGGGCTCCGAGAGGCCCCCCTACGAGGGCCGGGCCAAAATCGTGCACTGATGTCCAAAAAAAGATTGCATGATGGTAGCGTTCTGGCCTTTTTGGGCTTCCGACACTCCAAAATGGCTCAGGCCAACAAAAATCACCCCGAAAACAAAATCATAGCCGGAGAAGGCCCCCGAAAGGCTCCCGAGAGCCCCGGAGGCACCAACAAGCCGCCTCGAACAGGCGTCCGAGAGGCCTCCAAAGAGATCCCCGCGGGCATCCAGCGAAGGAGGGCCTCTCCTAGAGACCTCCTAGATGGGATCCGAGTAGATGGGGTCGGAGGATCGCGCCGCATCGCCGATACATCGGCGATGCATCGGCGATGCATCGAAGATGCATCGGCGATGCACCGGCGACGCATCGGCGACGTCGGCGGTGCATCTGCGACGGCGGCGTGGAGAAAAGCGGGCTCCGCATCGAGCCGCATCGCTGATGCATCGGCGATGCGGCGCGATCCTCCCACCCCGTGTACTCTTAGGTCGGGCATGTCCTCATACAGGCAGATCTTGGAGGAACAATGAAAAAATCGCCAACAAAGATTCAACAAATGCAAACACATGCTTTACAACATATCCCCAGACTATGTCCTGCATCTTTGTGAATATTCCTCCTGCAGAGGGACACGCCCGACTCGAGTCTACTCCGACCCGATCTGGGAGGCCCAGATCTCCTGTCGGGAGGAGGAACCCGCGGGCACGCACGGGCCCCCCGGCGGAGGTGCACCCGAGCGGCGCAGGGAGCTGGAGGGGCACGCTCGTGCCCGAGGCTCGCTCCTCCTCCTCCTCCTCCATCTCCTCCTCCTCCTCCTCCTCCTCCTCCTCCTCCTCCTCCTCCTCAAACTCATCCTCAAACTCATCCTCCTCCACATCCTCCTCCTCCACCTCCTACGTCACCAAATCCTCCTCCTCCGCCTCCGCCTCCGCCTCCTCCTCCTCCTCCTCCTCCTCCTCCTCCTCCTCCTCCTCCTCCTCCTGCCTCCTCCTCCCCCTCCTCCCCCTCCTGGCCCTGGCAGAGCTGGGCGTGGGGGCCCCACCCCCGCGCGGCATCGCCCAGCCTCAGCTCGCCGCTGCCGGGGCCCAGCGGCAGCCCCAGGCAGCCCTGGCTCCGGCCGGCCACAGCCACGGGGGGGGCCGCCCTGCCACCCTGGGGGGAGGCCCATCGTGTCGACGATCTCTCGGGAGCTCGCACGCGCCGAGCGTCAAGTCGGGCATGTCCCTCTGCAGGAAGGAGATTCAAAAACAGTCACCAAGAAAAGGTCTGGGATCGATGTTTCTGTAATGTTTGACTGGTTTGACCATGTTCCACCTGGAGGAGGACATGCACGACCTGAGCCGAGCGTGGGCACGGCACACGCGTGCCCTCGCGGTCTGGATGCCGCGGGTTCGTGTCGTGTCGACCCTGGCGTTGCGTCGTGGCATGTCGTGCTCGACCCCAGCGTGGCCACCAGACACCGCGGGGATCGTTCCACCTGGAACGATCGGCCGTTTACGAATCGTCGAATCGCTCAACATCGACCGATTCTGGGTCGCCAGCGGCGTTCAACGTTGAACGCCGACGGCGGGGTCGCCTTGAATGCGCATTCTGGGGACCTTCCTTTTGGAATCCCGAAACGGTGCGGTGACGGACCGTGCAGGCGAAACCCCCCAAGACCTCACCGCACGGTCCGTCACCGCACGGTCTTGGGACCCCAGAGGCCCCTGTCGCCCGAAACGTCCTCGGAGAACCACCCGAGTCACAAAACCGTGAGGTGACTCCGAATCCCCACCGACTCACCGCACGGTGTGGTCACCACACCGTTTCGGGGGCCCCCGATTCCTGGAGACACTCGTTCCACTTGTGCGTCGAAGCTGAGTCGAGCGTTCGTCAATTTGAGCCGACCTCGAGTCGAACCTGTGTTGAACCTGAGTCGAACATGAGTCGAACTTGAAACAAACTGGGGTCGAACTGGGGTCAAGCTCGAGTCGAACAGATCCGTCAGGTGGGGACCAGGAAGGTTCCCAAAACGAGCATCTGAATCGCCGCTGGTGGACACGATGCGAACCTACCGTTCCGAGGCGCTGCTCCGTGGATGCGCGATCCTGCACTGTTTCCCTGGGGACCGTAGGCGACCCGAGCAGGAGGAGGAGGAGGAGGAGGAGGAGGAGAAGGAGGGGGAGGGAAAGGAGGAGATGGAGATGGAGGATGAGAGGAGGAGAGGAGGAGGAGGAGAAGAAGGGAGGAGGGGAGGGAGGAGAGGAGGAGGAGAGGAGGTGGAGGAGGAGGAGGAGAAGGGGAGAGGAGGAGGGGAGCAGGAGGAGAGGAGGAGGAGGAGGAGGGGAGGAGGAGGAGGAGGAGGAGGGGAGGAGGAGGAGGAGGGGAGGAGGAGGAGGAGGAGGAGGAAGGGAGGAGGAGGAGGAGGAGGAGAAAAGAGGAGGAGGAAGGAAGAGGAGGGAGGAGGAGGAGGAGGAGGAGGGGGAGGAGGACGGGTCGCCTAAGCCCTTCGGAGAAGCCCTCCACGCGATCCCGCAGGGTGCGCTCCACGCGAGGGGGCAGTTCCTGCGCAGAGCCGCCGGGAGCCCACGGGGTCGCGGCCGAAGCGTCCCGGCCGCGAGGCCGTGGTTATGTGCACGGCAGGCTCGCGCCGTGCCGACCTGTTCGGTGGCAACGTCGTGGGAGCCTTCCCATGCGGACGCACAAACCAGTGCACACAAATCCCAAGATCTCCTATAGTTTCAAGATGTTCTGGGTGTTCGTCTTCCCCCCATTTTTCATAGTTCCCCACATTTTCCTGGGAGTCGACGACTGACTGTGTCTGTGTGTGTTTTCCCCCTCCTTAATACCATCTCCTCGGCTCGTGCGAATCGCCGCCTATCGACGCTAAATCGACGCTCGTCGACGCCAACCGACGCTACATCGGCGCCATCTCATCCACTCCCAGACGCTAATCGACACCAGTCGGCGCCAAAGAAATTAGCCTGGCGAAGGACCCAACCATATGCAGTTGTGAATGCCGCAATTGTGCTGGGTGGTGGCGGACGCATGCGGGCGGTGCCGCTGGGACCTTCGGTGGAGCTCCCTATGGGGCCACGAAACGCTGTACTGGGTGGGTGAGACGCGGTCAGCAAGGGCTGTGCTGCGTGGTGGCGGACGCATGCGAGCGGTGCCACTGGGACCTTCGGTGGAGCTCCCTATGGGGCCACGAAACGCTGTACTGGGTGGGTGAAACGCAGGCAGGGAGCAAGGGCTGTGCAGGGTGGTGGCGGACGCATGCGGGCGGTGCCGCTGGGACCTTTGGTGGAGCTCCCTATAGGGCTACGAAGCGCTGTTCTGGGTGGGTGAAGCGCAGGGAACAAGGGCTGTGCTGGGTGGTGGCGGACGCAAGCGGGCAGTGCCACTGGGACCTTTGGTGGAGCCCCCTATGGGGCCACGAAACGTGCGAGGGGTGTGCCAGAATGGGGTGTGGAACCGCATGCCAGCGCAGCCACTGGGGCCTTCGGTGGAGCTCCCTATGGAGCCACGAAACGTGTGAGGGGTGTGCCGAAATGGGGGGTGGAACCGCATGCGAGCGCAGCCACTGCGGCGTTCGGTGGAGCTCCCTATGGGGCCACGAGACGTGTGAAGGGTGTGCCGAAAAAGGGGGTTGAACCGCATGCGAGCGCAGCCACTGGGGCCTTCGGTGGAGCTCTCTATGGGGCCACGAACCGTGTGAAGGGTGTGCCGAAAAAGGGGGTTGAACCGCATGCGAGCGCAGCCACTGGGGCCTTCGGTGGAGCTCTCTATGGGGCCACCCACGAAGCGTGTGAGGGGTGTGCCGAAATAGGGGGTGGAATCGTATGCGAGCGCAGCCACTGGAGCGTTCGGTGGAGCTCCCTATGGGGCCACGAAACGTGTGAGGGGTGTGCCAGAATGGGGGTGGAACCGCATGCGGGCGCAGCCACTGGGGCCTTCGGTGGAGCTCCCTATGGGGCCACGAAACGTGTGAGGGGTGTGCCAGAATGGGGGGTGGAACCGCATGCGAGCGCAGCCACTGCGGCGTTCGGTGGAGCTCCCTATGGGGCCACGAGACGTGTGAAGGGCGTGCCGAAAAAGGGAGTGGAACCGCATGCGAGCGCAGCCACTGGGGCCTTCGGTGGAGCTCTCTATGGGGCCACGAACCGTGTGAGGGGTGTGCCGAAATGGGGGGGGGGAGCCACATGCGAGCGCAGCCACTGGGGCGTTCGGTGGAGCTCCCCATGGAGCCACCCACGAAGCGTGCGAGGGGTGTGCCAGAATGGGGTGTGGAACCGCATGCCAGCGCAGCCACTGGGGCCTTCGGTGGAGCTCCCTATGGAGCCACGAAACGTGTGAGGGGTGTGCCAGAATGGGGGGTGGAACCGCATGCGAGCGCAGCCACTGCGGCGTTCGGTGGAGCTCCCTATGGGGCCACGAGACGTGTGAAGGGTGTGCCGAAAAAGGGGGTTGAACCGCATGCGAGCGCAGCCACTGGGGCCTTCGGTGGAGCTCCCTACGGGGCCACGAAACGTGTGAGGGGTATACCAAAGTGGGGGTGGAACCGCATGCGAGCGCAGCCACTGGGGCCTTCGGTGGAGCTTCCTATGGAGCCACGAAGCGTGTGAGGGGTGTGCCGAAATGGGGGGTGGAACCGCATGCGAGCGCAGCCACTGGGGCCTTCGGTGGAGCTCCCTATGGGGCCACGAAACGTTTTCGGGGTGTGCCAGAATGGGGGGTGGAACCGCATGCGAGCGCAGCCACTGGGGCCTTCGGTGGAGCTCCTTATGGGGCCACGAAACGTGTGAGGGGTGTGCCAGAATGGGTGTGGGAGGGGGAGGAGGGGGGAGGAGGGAGGGAGGAAGGAGGCGGGAACGCGGGGCACCGTCTCTTCAAAACGAGGACCCAACACCACAGGATGGTTGGGAAAAATCCAGAGGGTATAGCAGGCCCCCATGAATTGCTACCGAAGACTTCGGCGTTGGGAATCTGACACTGCGTGGATATCTCAACCTCGAGCGATCGGCGGCTTCTCGATCGCCAGATCGTTCCACATTGGCCAATTCTGGGCCACTAACGACGTTCCACCTGGAACGCCCGCGGCGGGGTCGCTGCCGCGTCGGCACCACACGAACCTGCCGCACGTGGGGAAGCCAAAAGGCACCGACGATACCACTCATCCCCGGACCTCTCCCGGCTTGCGCTCGGAGCAAAGCTTCGAGGCGAATCCGGCGGTGGCGACATGGGCCTCCCGGGAGGCCCACAAAGGGGAACACGAGGCAAGGGGAGCGGTATCGGTACCTTGTCCTCCTCTATACCCAGACAAGCGACGTCCTGATTTTTTTCAGGACGGCGTCCCCGAAGTCCCGACCCTTTCCCCGAGACCGGTTTGTCGTCCTGAAACGTTGTTTGACGGTACCGAAGCCCGGCGAGGGCCTCCCGCGGCCGAAAATAGCTAAAACCTCCCGCCCTGATTCTTGTACTGGCTACCCACCAGACCACCCCAACCCAGCCCGAAGGCCCGAATTTGACCTACATTTGCGGGTTGGGGGGGGTACGGGTCCCATGCGTTTTGCCAAATGTTCCCCGGCCTTCGGGTTGGGTTGGGGTGGTTTGGTGGGCTGTGATGTGTACGACTCGATCGTGCCTGGGTAAATACGCTGCCCGCCCGCGAGCCTCGACGACCTCTCGACTGGCTGTCTTCAGGGCGGGCTTTTGGAGCTCAACTGACTCACTCGGTTTTGTCATCATCGTCATCATCGTCATCACCATCATCATCGTCGTCATGATCTTCATCACCTCCTCATCATGTGGTGCTGATGATGGTCATCGTCATCATGTGGTGCTGATGATGGTCATGGCCGAACCGACGGGGCCCCCCAGGGCGGCACGGGCCACCGCTCCCCGCGGGCGGCCGGCCGGCCTGCGGCGGGCCCCCGCCACCGGCGGCCTCGAAGTGGCCGGGGTTCACGGCGCCGCTGCGGGAGGCGCGGCGTGCCGTCTCGTCGGGGGCGTCGCTCGTGCCCCGCGAGCGACGCACAGATAACCAGCCTCGAACTTATCCCCATCCCTAAGATGGGCGAGCAAAAAGCAAGGACAATCTCAGGGACAGGCCCTCAGAAACTGAGGGAATCCTTAAGATCGGCATCGAGGTGAGGTGCTGTCAAATATAGGGATAGGGATATGTTTCGAACTGGAAAACAGAGCCATGCAGCGGGGGCCAGGCCACAAGAGACCGCGTCGCGGGAG